GAGAGTTTGTGACGACATCTCCAGGGGATCTGCAGTCTCTTCTCTGGCCAGACCTAGACTCTCTGCCATGTGTCACCTGGGTCCTGGGACCACAGTGTGTCATCAGCAGGTCGCACTGGTGCCCTCTTCCCAGGCGGTCTGTGGGTGACTGTGGGGGGTGTCCCAGTGTGGCCGTGGCAGGGCGCTCCAGAACCCGAAGAGAGTGAGAGTTAGCCAGGTGGGGAGGGGCCCATCTAGGGGCCACACGTCCCCAGGGCCCAGTGCCCCTGGGGGCCGAGGCTCTGTGGTAGGTGGAGTGTGCTTGAGATGGTGACGTGGGTGGTGGGAAGACGGACAGAGATGGACAATGGTTCTGGGACGTGCTCTCTGGGTGGCAGGTGGAGGCAGGTGGGTTTTGCAGCAGGCACCACGAGCACCCCCACACACACACACCCCCCGCTGGCTGCCGAGCCGAGCTGCGAGAGGGAGGAGGCGTGGTTGAGAAGGTCATCGCAGGCACAGAGCTGGGGAGCCCAAATAGGAGGCTGGCGCTGTCATGCAGGGGTCGTGTGTCCCCCGGCTGTGGCCTTTGGGTGTGGAGAGGGGGTGCCAGAGCCAGGGCCCTAGGGCCTCTGGGACTGCAGGAGGAAGCAGGGCTGGAGCCGGGCCTCTGGCTGGGTGGGTGCAAAGCCACGGGAGTCATGAACTTCAGTGAGTAGCACCGTGAGCGCGGGGCCAGTGTTTGTGTTCGAGGTGTGGCGTGGCTGGACAGCCGGGAAGGCAAGCGAGCCACCTTTGGCGTTCTCTGCACTGGAGGCCCTCGAAGGGGGGAGAGGGGCAGGAGAGCATGGAGGCAGACAGGGGGCAGCGCTCCTCCAGGGAGCTGCTGTGGGGGCTCTCGGGGCCCAGGGAGCCCCTTTCTGTGTTCGCCATCGTTGGGGCCGTCCCGGTGCCTGGCGCTTACCCAGGAGTGCTCTCTGGGCCGTCCCCACCTCACTCCTGCACGCTCTGCACTGGCGCTATTTGTCGGAGGAGAAGTGTGTTTCAGTGGTTATGCCTTCTCCCAAGTCCCGGAGAAGGCGGCGCCGTCCACACCTGCCAGCTGGGCTGTGGACCCCCGCCCTTGGCCATGCCCGCCGGGCTGTGCTGTTGGGGCCCCGCTCCACACTCCTTCATCCTGAGACAGTGTCTCCTGTTTCCTTGGCGAATTGCCTCATGCTTTCTGCATCAGGCCTGCAGGTCTGTGTGTATTAACCCATCACATGCTGCGTGCCCGTGCCAGGCTCCCATTGTACAGGTGTCATCAGAGAGGCTGAAATCGCTTTTGTTCAGTCTTTTTCATTATAATTTCTGTCCATTTCATTGTATTTAGGAAATAATTCTTTATCCCAAATCTATATATTTACTTATGTTTTCTGTTGGTGATTTTATTAATTTTACATTGAGATCCACGATCCATTTATCCATTATTTATTTACTTATTTATTGTAGTTCTGTGATACATTTATGTGTGTGTCAGGGTAGGACCCTGCACTCATTTAGCTTTTTTAAAATTATTGTTGTTTGTTTGTTTGTTTAGAGAATGAGCAGTGAGGGGGCAGAGAGAGAGAGAGAATCCCAAGCAGGTTCTGTGCTGTCAGCGCAGAGCCCAACTTAGGGCTCGATGTCATGAACCATGAGATCATGACCTAAGCCAAGATCAAGAGTTAGATGCTTAACCAGCCAAGCCACCCAGATGCCCCTCATTTAGCTTTTTTTTAAAACAAATTTGTTTTTGTTTTTATTTTTATTTATTTATTTTTTTCTGAGAGAGAGAGTGAGCACAAGTGGAGAAGGGGCAGAGAGAGACAAGGAGATACAGAATCCAAAGCAGGATCCAGGGTCTAAGCTGTCGGCACAGAGCCCGATGCAGGGCTCGAACTCCTGAACCATGAGATCATTACCTGAGCCAAAGTCAGACACCCAACTGACTGAGCCGCCCAGGCGCCCCTCCAAAATGTTTTAATTACAGGAGATTATGTTTGCTACAAGCGTTATTCAGGAAAACTTAGCAATTAAGAAATTGCCTATAAGAGAAGAGATTCTGAACAGCATATTAGCATACTGTCCAGTCTAGGAAAAGGGATTTCGTGGTGTCTGAAATCTCCAGGCCAGGTTTTCATTTGAGTCTGCTGTCGGGACTGGGGTCTGTGGCCACAAGGTCCCCACAGGGGAGGAGCCGATTGGAGTGTGTGACCCCATGGCACCAGCACATGGTTGAGCAGAAATGGCCAAGTTCTGATGCAGAGATCCTGGGTTCATGTGGACAATCTCTGCCCCCCTCCACCCCTTCCACCGTTAGGTCTTGGGCAGGTTAACTCGCCTTGGTAGCCCTCACATCCTCATAGTGCATTGGGGACCAAGCGGTTGTTTGCACGTGGTGTCTAGCCAGCACCTAATATGTGTCAGCTCCCAGTTCTGTTTGTACCTAACAGACACTCTGCAGGTGCTTGTCGGCAAGGCTGTTTCCTAGACAGCGATTCTTTGAGAAATTTTGTTCTGAGAACTTTGATTTTGTTTTTTGTTTGTTTGTTTTTTTTTTTTGCTCTATCCTGTGACGTCTCAGATCAAGCTGCCAGTGTCACTTGTTATCCTTCCTGCCAGTTCTTTAAAGAGAAAAGCAAGACATAAGTAAACTTAAAAAAATAAAAATATAAAGGGGCACCTGGGTGGCTCAGCCAGTTAAGGGTCTGACTTTCAATTTCGGCTCAGGTCGTGGTCTCTTGGTTCTTGAGTTCAGGTCCCACGTCGGGCTCTGCGCTGACAGTACAGAGCCTGCCCGGGATTCTCTCTCCCTTCTCTCCCTCCCTCTCTGCCCCTGTCCTCGTGCTCTCACTCTTCCTCTCTCTTTCTCTCAAAAATAAGTAAACTTTAAAAAATAAAATTAAAATAAAAAGAAAAGCAGTACATTAAGGAGTCCGTCCCCCTTTTCCAGAGCAAGAGGTGCCAGCGCTCGCTAGAGTTTGCCCTTGTTCTGGCCGGGCACGGGGACGGGGGTGCGGTGACGCCACAGCTCTGGTGCCACCGTCTGCGCCCGTGGCCGTCACAGGTGGCCGGGCCTCTCCTGGAGGCCTGCTCCCCACTGACGCGAAACTGCTGATGCTTTGTTGGCTCCTGACCTGGGAACTGAGCGCCTCGCCTCTCCCAGCCTGACATCTGCTGACGTGATTGCTTCTGAGATGCCGTGTGGGGCTGGGGGCTGGCTGGCGAAGCATCCGCAGAGGCATGTGGGGGAGAGAGAGGTTACCGGCCCCCACCCCCACCCCGCCTCAGAGAACAGAGGGTGGTGCAACGCCTTTATTTTCTTGGGGAGCAGAAAGGTACAGTTGGGTAGTTAAATTTGAAAGAGAATAGCACGACACAGAAAAAAGAGAGAGGGGCATTTAACAAGAAAACTCGCTGGCGGGGAAGATGAACGTGAACAGGTGCTGGAGGAACGTCTCTGCATATTAGAGCTTAATTAGACCCGAAGGTGAATTCCAGACAGGCCCATTATGGATGAGTTGTTGCAGGGAGGTTCTGGAAATGGTGATTTAGTTTGATTGGATTTGATTCCTACCTCCTGCCGTATCTCCCCCATCGAGAAGCCGCCACCTCTGGGGCCCCAGGACCCACTCTGCTGCCCCTGTGAAGCTTGAGGGCCCTGGAGAGCGGGGCCCAGCCTGGCTGCAGCCCAGACGAGCGGGGGCAGCCACCTGCACGTGGTAGGACAAGTGACTCTTCCCCAGCGCAGCGGGAGGTCATTCCGACTTCAGAGGCAGGCGGAACAGACCAGGTGGTCTGTTGTTCCCGGGGTTGTGCCTTTTGATGGGTGCTAGCAGCGCTGGATAGCTAGCTGGTTACATCTGTTTGGACTGTTTCCTGGGAGAACCGAGGGGCGGGTTCTGGCTGGCTGCCCTCTTATGTCGTGACTGGAAGAAAGGGAGGGAAAGCACGGATCAACAGAGACATATTGCAGACGAGAAACTTTATTTCTAAGCAAAAGGATCTGGGGCAGACGGGATCCCTGGTCTTGCCAGTAGAGTGATAGACTTGGCTCAACTTAGGAACGACTGACGCGTGCGTTGGGGAGACGGTGCCCACTCTGCGGTCCCCGGGCAGGTGCAGGTGTGCGGGGGTAGCCGTGCGAGCCCTGCAGGGGCAGCGCCTCGGCGGACCTGCTTGGCTTCCCTTCGGCTCTGAGAGCTTTGAGAAGTGTAAACTTTTATGGAAGGCCTCATAATTGGAAGTTATGGATATATAATTTATATATGACTCAGAGAATGATTTATGTGATGTTAAGTGATGATTTAGATAGAAAACATGACCCCCTCTCACAGAATCTTTAATGAAAAGTGTTGGTTCTTATGAATTTATTTCTAGAGCTCTGTTTGAACTCAGCATGTTTGACATAAATCAGATATAATTGTCATTTTATGATTAATGAACATATGCTGGCCGTTTTTCCCCATAATTAAACTTTATGTTCTGTGCATCTGACAAAGCAGAACAAGTTTAGACTTTGACAGATTGGTGGCGGGGGTTTTCCACGTCTGCATATTTGTGTGTGCGTGTGCTCATTTGTGCACATATTTATTAATGTACACGGACGAAGCCGGGATTTCAGGTGTGAGGAGGGTCGTTAGGAGCCAGCGTTCAGACCTGAGGTTGGGGAGCCCTCGTGCGGGATGGAGAGATGCAGGTGGACGTGCGGGGCGGCGGGGGCCCTGGGCCCGTGTCGTGCGGGGCGGGGTTGGGGGGCTCGAACATGCTCTTCCAGCGGAGCCGCCCTGTTAAGCAAGACATGGCCTCTCCTTCACAGTGTGGCCACCGTCCCAGAAGACCGCGCGCGGCACACATGTGCACACTCTGCCTCTGTGGTGTTCATAGGCCTCAACAAGAATTATAATAATGGACCAGGGAAGACGGGCGTGTGAAAGGCCAGCCATGTTACCAGTCAGCAAACCTTTGCTCACGCCTCTCGCGTTTGTTTCCTATTTCAGGACATAGACAAGTTCGGCAATGAGATCACCCAGCTGGCCCGGCCCCTGCCCGTGGAGTATCTGATCATAGACGTAAGTGTGCATCGCCCCTGCCTGGGCTGCTGGGTGGGGGCTGCGGGCGGCATGGACACTTGCCCTTCGGCCTGGCCCCAGGACAGGCACCCAGAAAGCGTATGAATCCCTGAGCTCCTGTCATCCCTGAAAGGCTGGGGACTTTAAGGGTTTTTTTCTTCTAGTTGGTTTTTTTAATTCCTTAAAAACAACTTAGGGTTTGCCCTCTTCCTGACGAAAATGCAGCACTGGACCAGCGACCAGGCCAGGCAGCCTCTGGAGAGGAGCCAGCCTGGCGGGCTCTGTGCCAGTGTGTGTGGTGCTGCCCCGGGCACAGCGCCGCTGCCACTGCAGGGCCCACCGTGGGCTCAGTCCCCGGGGGGCGGGACAGCCGTAACGGTCCTCCACTGAAGCAGCTGTGCTCTCCTGGGTGGAGCTCCCGGAGCCAAGAAGGCAGCGGGCTCCTCCCACCGCGCACCCCAGCACCGTCCTAGCCTCCACTCCTTGCTGGAGGTGCGGCCCCGGCCCTCGGCTGCAGAGGGCTCCGGTGCCCGAGTCATCTGTGGCCATCGGCTCTGTCCCAAGGGGTTGGGCAGGGGCTCATTTCCTAACTGCTTCCTGCCGGGATCTCGGGATCTCTTTGGGCTGTTTGGACTCAGGAAGGGCATGTGATTCAGGCTGTAAAATACCACTGCGTTTGGAGCAGCAAGTCCCCATGAGCCAAGCCCGTGGTCGGTGCTCCATTCCAATTGACAGCTCCTGAGAACATATTTATTACCTAGGCCATAAAGGCATCTGTTTGTTAGACTACCTAGGGTGTAATTAAGATGAAAACAGATTGATGGAACATACACTTAGGAAGAGTCGGCGTGATTTAAAGCCAGCTTTCTGAGGTCTCCTCTCCCCACAGCCTCCCCATCCCTTTCCTTTTAGAAAAGAACCGAGTTCTTGCTTAGTGTGCTGTGTCAGCTTGTGTGAGGGAACATTGCACCCCAGGATACCTGAGCCCCCTGATCTTGTCGGGGGAGGTGGGAGCAGGTGTCCAGACCGGAGGGCTGAGCTCCTTGTCGGTTTCCAGTCCCACAGCCTGACCGGCATTGTCTGATGTCCTCAAACCCCATGACCAGGCCTCTTTGTCACAAAAGTGGAGGGTTGGGTCTTGCTACCCAAACTGCCGTGGATGTGCTGGGCAGGTGTCTGGGCGTTGGCTAGAGGACCTGGAGCTGCCGGGGCAGCGGGCACTACCGGGGGTGGGGACGAGATGAGGGACACCCTGCAGCCCTCCCCGGGTGTCAGGGGCGCTCACAAACTGCCTAGGGGACTCAGTTCGGTCACACTCTAGGGGAGGTTAGGAGTCTAACAAAGACCTCTCTCAACTCCACATCTGTGGCCTGGTAGGTGTGCTGCTTTGCCCACCCCCCACTGTCTCTCCCTTCCCCCAGGGGATGCACTGCGCCATCCACACCCCTTGGTCTCTGCGGCGTGGACAGAAGCTGAGACTAATAATTCAGGCTTGCATGTCTGAACCTTGGTGAGTGTAGGCACTCAGGGCTGTCTGTCTTGCAGAGGAACAGAGTAAGGCCTAGCATCTGTCTGCAGCTGACAGAGGCCACGCAGCCAGTACGTGGCACTGGGGCTGGAGTCCACACAGCTGCTTGGCCTCATCAATAAAAGATGAGTGGGCCAGGCGCCAACCTGGCTCAGTCAGTACAGTGCGTGGCTCTTGATCTCAGGATTGGGGGTTTAAGCCTCACGTTGGGTGCTGAGATTACATGAAAATAACATCTTTAAATGGGACATCTGGGTGGCTCAGTCGGTTAAGCGTCCAGTTTTGGCTTCAGGTCACGATCTCAAGGTTTGTGAGTTCGAGCCCTGCATCGGGCTCGCTGCCGTCAGCGCAGAGCCAGCTTCAGATCCTTTGTCCCTCTCTCTCTCTGCTCCTCCCCTGCTTGTGTGCATGCGTTCTCTCTCTCAAAAATAAACACTTAAAAATAAATAAAATCTTCAGTCGGGGCATGTGGGTGACTCACTCAGTTGAACATCCGACTCTGGATTTTGGCTCAGGTCACGGTCTCATGGTTGTGAGATGGAGCCCCACATTGGGCTCAATGAGGAGTGGAGCTTACTTGGGAGAGTCTCTCTCTCTCTCTCTCTCTCTCTCATTTCTTTGCCTCTCCCCTGGTTGCTCTCTGTCTCTGTCTGGCTCTCTCTTTCTTTCCCAAAATAAATGCATAAACTTTAAAAAAAAATTTTTAAATAAAATCTTTAAGACCATCAGGGCTCTGGCCTCAGATGTTGCTGCTGGCCCAGTCCCAGCACAGCCTGGGCTAGCCCCACACAGCCGTTGCCTTTGCAGAAAACAGACCACAACAACACTTCCATTCTCTAGATATAGTTTAGAAGGAACCAGAATAGCTACTCTAAATCTGGACAAGGTGTAATCCGCTGCTGCTGGTGTCAGGTTGCAGGGGAGAAGCTGCGTCAACCAAAATGTGGTTGACGCCTGGCACTGGGGCGCGGGGGGGGGGGGGGGGGGGGGGGGGGTGGCATCTGCTGGGGGAGTGAGGACTGTATTTGTATTGATTATTGCGCATTTACCACCATCCTGGAGTTTCTATCGATTACGTGCTAGATTTAAAGTGCTCTCTGTCATTAGTAAAGCGTGTCTGGTTCCCCTCGTGACTCCAGCCCGGCTGGTGGGAGAGCGGGAGCGCTGTGCACCAGGTCTCAGAGCTGAGCGGCGGCGCCCTGGCTGCCCCGACGCGCCCTAGCTCGGCGCAGCGGTGCCGCGGCCTCTGGAGGGCACTGCGCGGAGAGTTCTCCCGGCCTCGGCCGTGTGCTTCCACAGCTCGCCCTCTGGTTCCTCCGCCGGCCAGCATACAGAAAGTGCCCACAAATGGCACAGTCCTAAAAATGGTCAAAAATGATTATTTGGTTTGCTTCCCAGAGCGCTGAGTGTCAGAGGTTTCACTTAGGGGTGTTGTTAATGGTTAGCCACCGCATCCAGCGTGGAGCAGTCGGACCTCTCCACTGCTTTGAGTGACTTGGAGCTCGGGGGAGGGTGTGCTCAGGGCTGCTTGGAGCACTGAGGACCGCCCTCACCGCTGTTTGCAGCACAAGTGATCATGGGCTTGTGTTTTTTTCACTAGATCACAACAACTTTCCCCAAGGATCCAGTTTATACTTTTTCTATTTCGCAAAATCCATTTCCTATTGAGAACCGGGACGTGCTGGGTGAGACACAGGTAAGCTGTTTGTCTTTAGAAACGTAATTTAAAGTAACTACTGCTTGTTTATCTGGTGTCAGTGTTGTTTTTCCAGAAAGTACCAAGCTTGTATACTCCCTTGATTGATTCTTATGGCAAAACCCAGCTAGGACTTTTTCCGAGACACTGGATCACCACGCCACCGTCTCCAGGGCAGGGTTGACGAATCCCCACAAAGGCAAATTCTCGCCAGGCCCCAGGCCTGTGCATCTGCCAAAAGAGCCATGGTTGCTGACTTCTGTTCTTCTCCCAGATTTATTCATCACTGTGTCCTCTCCCAACAACTTTTGTACCATTTGTTTGTTGACCAGCATCATCTCTTTGTGGAGATGTCTCTTTGCTCTGGCTTCCTGCCCTTGTCACCCTGCTGCGTTTCTCACGCACCGTCCAAACCGTGTGGGCCTCTGGTGGCCCCGGCCACTGGGGCTTTCCAGCACGTCCTGCACAGTGACCCCTGCTCCACGGCGCAGGGGAGGCCGTGCAGAATTGCTAAGGCTGCCTCGTGCTGCCACACGGCTGGTCGGGGACACACGCTTGTTCCTAGGCACATCTGTCTGTGTGGGGGCCCAGGGTGCTTGTAGAGGTGCAGAGCCACTTCGTGGGTGACTGTCTTAAGCCTCCTGTGTTTAGTTTTGCTGAAGGTGTAGCGTCACGTAATCCCTCAGCACGCACACATGGTTACTCTTCCCCCGAGTCCACGGTGCGGCTGCATGGCGAGCACACACTGGCCTTCTCGCCCCACGCTGGGCCCTTCCCACAGCCCACTCCGCCTGGAGCTGTCTTTTTCTAAATCTGTCTCCCAGCTGGGTCAGCTGTATAAACCTGCTCTTATTACACATCCCTCAGTGTGTCACGTGTGTCCCTGTGGCCTGGGTCCCTGTTGGTGGCTATAGAACGAGACGGGGGAGGTGTGTGTCCACACTCTGCATTCGGCTGTGTCCCAGGCGGGGATGGACGGCTCTCTGGGCCTGGGGTGGCCACGACACGCTCCGGTTCACAGTGTCCTTTTATGTCACCACGCTAGGACTTCCACAGTTTGGCCACCTATCTGTCCCAGAATACCTCCTCAGTGTTCCTGGACACCATCTCGGATTTCCATCTCCTGCTGTTTCTGGTCACCAATGAGGTCATGCCTCTGCAGGTACGGGCCCGAGTGCGTGTGCCCACTGAGCACTTGGCTTCTCTGGTCTCCACGTGGGGTTCGGCTCTAAAGAGACGCTGCCTTTCCTCTCGAGCCAGAGCGTGAAGCCGGGCACAGTCCCCCTCATGTCCTGTGGGCAGTGGCTTCTCCTAAGGGGCTTGCTGGTAGGAGGACGGATTTTGGACAGTAAGCATTGGCACTGAAGCTGCCGCATGTGCTGGAGGACAGCGTCCCTTGCTACAACCCCGCAGGCGGCAGGCGGCCTTGAGCTCTGTGTCCTCCAGCATGGAGCATTAGAGATCAATGATTTACAGAATTTCTTTAATTGTAACAGTTTCAGGATCGTAGCCTCTGCTTCTTACTGATTTCTCTCCTCCCAAATCAACGTTGGTTTTATCGCCAAGGCCAGAAGGTTGGCCAGCGTCCAGACCCTGAGTGCACAGCTGCATAGTTGGCATTGTTAAGGCACGCTGTTGGGCAGAAGAGGGCGTGAGTCACGGGCACTGGCTGCTGTCTGAGCAGCGTGTGGGAAGGGGGCAGTGGGCGGTGGTCAGTGGGTCCAGCCAGGAGGCCCTTACCTACTTTGTGCCTTTTTTCTGTCGGAGACCCAAGGAAACACCAGAGGGAGGGGAACGAATTCTTTCTGAGGCACTGACTCAGTACGTTCCCTGCAGGTGACAGAGTAGAGTGGAGCAGCCCCTCCCTCCCCACTGTTCTCCCACATCAGGTGGCCTGTAGCCCTTCTTGTGTCTGATGAGTTTGTCTTGGGTCTGTATTTTGTCCCCAAACTGCCCACTTATGATACTTAATATCAGGCACCCTGAGACTGCCTGTTGGCTTTACCTGCCTTGTTAAAGGCCAGAGAGGAGCCCCTTAGCCCCAGGCCCAGCCCCGCTGTCTGTCCAGTTGGACAGATGGCGAGAGCCTGGGCTCTTCACCAGGGCCTCCTCGCCAGCAGACGTGTACTGTTTGGCAGTCCCCTGTTGGAAAACATTTTTCTGGGGAGCCCCTGAGGACCCCTCCCCCAAAGCTTTTTAATAGATTCTCATTGTATAAACTATTTTAGTTCTCTGCACTTTGACTCTGGAGGCCTAGGATCTAGAGAGCATTTTTACAGACATGGTTGAGAAAGTAGAGAGCCTCCAGGGAGAGCATGAGGGTGGAGGGTGGACCCCACGACCACGGGCGCCTGTCTGTGCCCCCGAGCCCTCAGGGTAAGGAGCGTGAGCTTCAGGGTCCTGGCAGCTGGGCCTGCTGGCCGGCTTATGACCGAGCGGCACGGTAGTGCTATTTGGGAAGAACTTAAGTTTTAGCTCTAAAATGTAGCACTTGTATGTGTAGACCTAGGTGTGTGGCATTATGTTTCCTAGTGACAGCCGTGAGGTTTGTTACACCCTCTGAAGTGTGTCCCGGTGTTTCGCAACATCAAGTTAAGGAGAAGGGGCTTACTAAGCGGGGTGCCCCCTCCGCAGGCAGAGCAGGTTGGAGCCTTCAGTTTCGGGTTCTTGCAGGACAGCATCAGCCTGTTGCTAGAGGCCGTGAGGACCAGAAACGAGGAGCTTGCGCAGACGTGGAAGAAGTCTGAACAGTGGGCCACCATCGAGCAGCTCTGCAGTAAGTGTCCTCCCGTCCCTCAGTCCCCAGGGCCTTGCCCTCGCACTCCCGGCACCAGGCCGCAGGCAGCCCGACGCATAGTCAGCAGAGCTGCTCACCTCCCAGGAGCCGGGCCCAGGGCGCTCTGACAGGTGTCGTGGGCAGTCCCGCAAGCACAGACGTTCTTGCTGCTGTGCCGTGCGTGCCGGGAGGCCATCCAGGTCGTGGGGTTCGGCTCTGCACGCACCCACACGTGCACAGGCTGTGCCAGGAGCAGTCCTAGGAGCAATTCAAAAGCCCTCATTTTAGATCAGCAGAAACCTTACATTCACGTAAGTGCTGAAAGGCCGGAAACCTCTGGGCTCGGGCTTTTCTTTCTCCCTTCTTTCTGCTGCTCCTCTGGCCTCTCTTGATGGATAAAGAGGGAAACACACAGAAGAGAATGTGGGGGTCTGTGTCTCGGAGCCCGAGCCGGCGCGCTGCCCAGGGAGAGCCCTCTGCCTGCGGCGCAGCTGACTCGTCCGGCCAGGCGCTCAGAGTGGCAGCCGCAGTGCAGCCCTTTGCCCCGTGGCTTTGAAAGACCCCGTGATGCTTTCTGGGGACAGCTTGGCAAATACGTGTAAAAGGTGTTCCTACCTTTTTTTCAATGTAGGGGGTAGATATTAGAGGCAAAATTAGTCAAGAAAAACCTCAGAGGGATCTCAGCTTTGAGGGAGGCCGGGTGGAGAGTTCCTCTTGTTCCCTCTTGATGCTAAGATCTCTGGGGGCTTGGGGGTCCGAAGGGTCTAGTCGTGCTGCCTTACTCGTCAGGTTTTCTTTCTATACGACTCTGACAGACCAGTCATGCAGCCGGCTGCACCCCTTGTACTCCTGCCCCGGCGTTCTGGACACTGCAGACCGTCTAGGGCAGAGGACAAGATGTTCCACCAAATTCCCTAAAATGAAGGCCCGCGGGCTCGTGTCCCCAGGAGGGTAGTGGTGTGGTGCCAGCGGGCGGCGCTCAGCCCCTGGTGTAAGTCTCCGGCACCCATGGCCCCCATGCCGGCACTGCTATTTGTTGTTGTGTTTTTTTTTTTTTTAACTTTTATTTATTTCTGAGAGAGAGAGAGAGAAACAGTGTGAACAGGGGAGGGGCAGAGAGAGAGGGAGATGTAGAATCTGAAAGCAGCTCCAGGCTCTGAGCTGTCAGCACAGAGTCCAACGTGGGGCTTGAGCCCACGAACCGTGAGATCATGACCTGAGCCGAAGTCGGACGCCCAACCGACTGAGCCACCCTGGTGCCCCAACTGCTGTTTGAATCCTTCACACAGAAACGTCGATGGCCATGGCTTTAATACCCCAGCACGCTCGCGTCAGCCCGGGAAGGCCGGGGCAGACCGCGCATGGTGGACCAGCACAGCACAGGGGGCAGTCGGGTAACGGGGGCCCCATGTGGGCACTCACACTAATAGAAAGTTGTGTGTCAACCATACTTGAATTAAAAACAAAAAACTGTGAGACATGTCACCAAAAAGGCAGTAATAGCAGTGGTCACCATCATTAGTCATCGGGGACACGCAGAGTGCGGTAACCGAGAGCGTGTTAGCCATCGAGCAGAGCGGCCGAGATGAAAGACTGGCGATGTTCCGTGCTCACCAGCTCGCCCACACTGGTGAGCACCGGAAGGCCGTCTAGCCGTGTTTTGTAGATGGTCCCTTCCTCTGGGATCCAACGGGCCTGCTCCTAGGTTTTCACCTGAGACGGGAAAACACAGGTCCACGCAGAGGCGTGTGCGAGCATATTGATGGCAGCTCTGTGTATAATGGCCCTAAAGCGTCAACGACCCAGAGGTCCATCGGGGGGAGGTGGGCAGCCAACACCGCTGTTCTCACAAAGGACCCACACGCGGCAGTAGGAAGGAGGGTGGCGGTGGGGTAGAGCGGTCGGGGGGCACGGCTCCGGGTTCTGCGGACAACAGTGTCGGCTCTGTGTGCGGGCAGGCAGTCCGGGCTCCCTGGCCGTCCCTGCCTGTAGTGGTTTCTTTGAGAGCCCCCGTCTGCTCCGGGGACAGCACAAGAGAGCGCTCGGGCCGGTGGGGCGTCCTCCCCTTGCCCCACCCACAGCCGATGAACATGCCCTTCTCCACCCCCCCCCCAGGCACAGTCGGAGTGCAGCTTCCAGGCCTGCACGAGTACGGGGCCGTGGGCGGCTCCACGCACGCCGCCGCCGCCGCCATGTGGGCCTGTCAGCACTGCACCTTCATGAACCAGCCGGGCACCGGCCACTGCGAGATGTGCAGCCTCCCTAGGACCTAGGCCCCCGGCCCTGCTGGCAGGACTCAGCCCCCCGCAGCCCTCTCTGAAGCCGGGATCATTGCAACCGTCGCCCCGCGCTGGGCAGCCCTCAAGGGGCTTCTCAGCACCAGGCTTCCGCGCAGGGAGAGCCAGCCTGGTGCTCTGCGGGCTGACAGCAGCCTCCTCGCGGAGCGGCTCGGTGATCCCCCGGGCACCCCGCACCGGCCTCCAAGGCGGTGGAAGGCCCTGGGCGCCTCGGCATCGTTGCCTGGGGCTGGGAGGGGCGCGGAGGCCGCACTGCCGCCATCCAGCTTTCTCTTCCCCTCCCTTTCGATGCTTTTTGTTCTTGCCCCTCCCGTGGCTCCGGTGGGAGTGTTTGGCGGCCGTCGTACCTGTTGCTCCGGGCAGACCCTGCCCGGGAGGCCGCTTCGCCCCCTGCCAGTAGCTGTTGTCTGGCGGAGACGTGAGCGGCACCGGGGTCACCGGCCTGCTGTCTGCTTGATCCGCGGCCTGGTTTGCTGCCCACCCTTCGTGCTCTCACCAGACATCCAGGTGGGATTTTTAAAGTCTGCGTTGGTTGTAATAACAGTTATCAGTAATTTCTGCCCAGAAGATTTTTATTTATTTCTTTTTAAGATAAAAACAACGTAAAAGGGGAGTGAGAGAGACTAGTTTCCACTTCCTGCCCTCCCGTGCTGAGTCCCTGGGAGTGGGCACCGAGTGGGCACAGGGTGGGCGAGGGTGGACAGAGACCCACAGTCGGTTCTTGGAAGTAAACCTCAGTGCCTGAGACTTTCCTGCCGCCACAGCTGCAGACTCGGTGGCCCAGCAGGAGGGCGGCGGTGGCTCCTGCCAGCCATCACCCCCACCGCGGAGGCCTCGGGCCAGGCCTGCGTGGGGCGAGCTGGGCCGTCCGGGACCAGAAGCTCTGGCCCCTTTGCCCTGGACGCCGTTTCCTCCTGCTGCCCTGCCCGCCCCCGGCCGCCTGCAGTGGGAGAGTAGGGGCTTGGCCTGTAGCAAGAGCGCTGAGACTGCCATGGGGGTCCCCGGACAGGGGTCGAGGAGGGCAGACCTTGCATGTGCTCTGGGGTCCCTGGGGACTTGTGCGCGGTACCCCGATGCCTCTTTGCCTTAACGAGGGCCACGTCTCTTAGCTGCATGACGCCCACGTGAGAGGCCGGCCTAGACACGGACTGTGCTGAGAGCTTCACGTCTCTGCCCTGGGGTGGGAGGCGGGCCTGTGTGACCTTCCCTTACCTGTTCTCTGCGTGTTGGCTTCTTTTGTGGTGAGGGCTGTGCCTGGCACCTCGAAGTCCACCTGGTGTGGGGCACACAAGACTTGTCTGCTCTCCAGGCCAGGGGTCAGTCGGGTGGGTCTGGCCTCAGCAGGGCCATCAGTTGGGGGCAGGATGCGCGTGGCAGGAGAGGTGCAGAGCGGCCCGCCTGAAGCAGAGTCCCCGCCAGCGTGGCCCCATGTCGTCAGGCCCCTGTGATCCAGTGTGAGGCTGCGGAGGACCCCGTGCTCAGCCTGTGTGTCCCCCTGCGGCCCCCCCACCGGCTCTCCTGGTGCCGCCTTCACCCACCTGCTCCTTTCCGTCTCCCTTCAGCCAAGTCTCCTCACTCTGGTGTTCTGGCAGACGCGGAACACGGTTCCTTCCGTCTCTTAGCTGAAGGAAAAGCGTTGGAATTTCTCTGCTTCTGGTTCCTAGTCACTCTTTGTTCAGTAACGCACTTTATTTTATTGTCCAAATAAGACAGGCTCAGAGCTCAGCATGAGGGTGTGGGGGGCATGGCCTTGGCCACGGGCATGCAGCCACCTCTTCTTGCCCGGGGCAGGGTCCCCCAGCCCCACCCGCATCCTCCTTGCCTTTGTGTGGACACACCCTCTTGTCACCAGGCAAGGGGTGACAGCGTGCTCGCCTGTCCAGGCGCACGCAGCTGGCTGCCCCGACCGCCTCTGACCAGTCTGCTCCTGGTGCTCGCGCTCAGCTCCGCTTGGGGCTCGCAGGGGTGCGTCAGTGGGTTTGCGTTAGCGTTACCTGGATTCCCGCCCCGCCGGGAAACTAATAAAACACCTGAAGCGACCGTCAGACTCCCTGTTTGTCTTTCAGGGCCCTGAGCCCCCTTCCTGCGCGCCGAGCTTCTGTCCGCAGGTTGTGCCCAAGTCCTCTTCCTGTCATGTGACTTCACTTTTCTCTGCACATCGCTGTCCTCATGTGGGGCCCTCTTCCCTGCCCGGTCCCTTGGCACTGACTTCCGGCGTGTCATCCAGTGGAGGAGAGCGGCAGCGGGGGAAGGGTGCTGCCTGGAGGCCGCTCCACTGCACAGGCATGGGGGTGCCAAGCCTGGAGGTGACACGCTGCCTGTCCTGAGTTGTCACATGACCGCCAGGAGGCATTCTCTCTCGGGGTCCAGGTGCCCACCTTCACACACGCCTTTCCGCATCACCCAGTCCTTGGGTCACGTGACTCACAGCCCCCTGGCCCAGCCGGTGCCTCCAGGCCTGATGCTCCAGCAGCGGGGAGGTCACATTCCGGCCACAGCGCCCCTGGGTGCGCCTCAGACCGCTGGACTTGCTGGATCTGAGGGGAGCCACCCCCCTCAGGAAACCAAGCAGAAGGGATGTGCTGCCTATGAGGAGGGCTCAGCAGGGCCTGCCGCTGCCCTGCGCACAACAGGGCTTCTCCCCGCGGGCTGCCGGCGTCATTGGACCTTAGGAAGATGACACTGCCCCCCGATTCGGCATCGAGAGCAGTGACAGAGCGCACACCTTGCACACCCACGTGAGGGGCTGCCAGCCTTTAGCCTGGTTCGTGTCTTTGAACCAGGGGTCAGCACCCAGGGCGCCCCTCTGTGTTTAGATAGGGCGTTGCTCATAAATCCTCCCATCACAGTGAGGGCTTCCCCGGCGTGGGGCCAGGAGCCTGCCAGGCCCCCTGAGCAGAGGGAGAGGGACGGAGGAGTGACCCGACCCAAGGGCACCTGGGTTGTCCTGGCCAGCCAAGGGCTAAACCTGGGGGGTGAGGCCTGCCCAGCTCAACCCACCTTCTAGATCCACTTCTGCACGAGTTCTCTAGGATGGCCCCTCGGTGTCGGGGAGCAGCCTGGGAGGCCTGGGGGGGGAGGGGAGTAACTGTGAGCGGGCACTTCAGGAGGGCTGGTGGTCAGACTGCCGGAGGGGACTTGGGTACCCTGCTTGCCCCCGCTTCCCAATTACAAGGGCCTATGAGGCATCCGGTAGCTCAGTCCACCTTTGGCTCAGGCCATGATCTCGAGGCTCATGAGTTCCAGCCCTGCATCAGGCTCTCCGCTGTCAGCGTGGAACCTGCTTTGGATGCTCTGTCCCCCACCCCAGCCGGCCCACTTGCCGTCTCTCTCAGAAATAACTAAACATTTAAAAAAAGAATGAGCAATGATGAAGTCCTAGTGGGAGCCGGTCTCTCCTCTCTGGTCCCAGCATCCAGGGCAGTGTTTCCAGCCCAGACTTCACTGTGGAGCAAAAACAGACTGTAAGGGGCACATTCAACCAGCATCCAGAAATCATGGAGCAGTGGCAGTCCAGTGCCCGGGGAGTTGTGCGCCCACCTCAGCAAGGCTGATTAGACCTGCTACCAGTTGTGCATTTTGGCAGACGCCACAGCCTCGGTCATGTCGGTTTAACTTCCAAGCCCAGGGAGCAGCTGGCAGCTGGCCCCTTCAACATACTGTGCGTGGCCACACCCCTCAGACGCCTCTCTCACTTCTGGGTGTCTGGCCTTGGAGACTCTTCCACTGGCAAGGAGTGGCATGTACTTGACCTCCCGTCTGCAGGCTCCTTTCAGGGACTCCCCGGATCTCCTGATTCCATCCAGAGAGCAGCTCCTGGCTCTATTCTGGTGAGCACCTCCAAAGGCCCAGGGAATACGAAGAGGGGCAGCCAGGGTGGTGGGGACAGGTGTCTCACCCCCGGCTTCACCTCACCCCCAGACCGATTTCTGGTTAGCCATACCCTCTTCTTCAAGATTCCTTGCCCCCATTGTCCAGTCTAACACACCCCCTGAACAGCCTGTGGCTCAAAGCCTGGCGGCGGGGTGGGCTCAGACGGAGGTGACTCCTCCCCGGGCCTGGAACGCCTGGGCTGCAGGAGCCCTGGACTCCTCTGTGGAGCCCAACCGCTCCCCGAAACCCCACAAGATCGTTTTAGGGGCGGACCGCTGGCCCTGGCGGCGCTCCGTGTCCCGCCCCGGCCTGGGGAAGCCCGAGTGCGAGCGGAGTCCTGGCGCCAGCGCGGCTCCGCGCGACTGCGGTCCCTGCCAGCGAGCGGCCCGAGGCCCCGCCCGGCGTGGGAGGTGCCGCGGGGTCCCCTCCGCGAGGGCGCCTGGGGCCGCGCGGCGGACGGGCGGGGTTCTCGAGGGCAGGCCCCGGGGTTTCCCGCGTTTGGCTTTAAACACGCGGGCCCCTTGCCAAACCCCTGCGGTCCACCGGCTTCCTCGCGGGGGCGTGGCCTTCCAGCCTGCCCCCCCCCGCCCCCGGCGCGGAGCCGCCCCCGCGCCCCGCCCCCGCCCGGACCGCTTTACGGCGGAGGTCGCGCCTCCACGTGGGCGGCCGTAAAGCGCCACGCGCCCCCGAGCCTCCGCTGGCACCATGGCCGGCTTCGCCCCGCGGGTCGAGTACTTGGCGGGCTTCCGCTGCCCGCTCGGGGGCCTGGCGGCGGGCAAGCCCCGCGTGCTGTGCCACGGGGCCGAGATCTTCGTGTCCACCGGGAGCGAGCTTGTCTACGTGTACGGCCAAGAGGGGAGGCTGCTGACCGTGAGCACCGGGAGGGGGCCTCGGGCCCGGGGGGGGGGGCAGGGGGGCGGGGCGAGGGGACAGGGTGTAAAGGGTGAGGAGGCTTGGACGCGGGGAGTCCTGGCTCTCTGGGAGGGGCCCGTGCCGTTGAGGAGCTTAAGGACTGGTAGCTGCCCCCCGCCTCCCCGGGATCCTTCCCGCGGCCGGCCTGACGCTGCCTTCTCCCCGATGCCCAGGCTGTGTACAGGTTCCCCGGTCGGGTGTGGCGCCTGGAGCTCTCGGCCCCCCGCAGGGTGCTCTACGTCCTGTGCGCCCAGAAAGGCGTCTACTGCGTGTCCTTGGACCAGGCGAGCAGGTGAAGAGCGGCGCTGGGCAGCACTCGTGGCGGAGGCCGGCACGGCCTCAGGTGGACTCTGGTTGTGTGTGACGGTGGCCTCCCTACTCTGTTCAAACACGCTTCTGGGCCTGCTGTGACCTGCGCCTTCTGCTTGCCCGCGGATCAGGTTCAGAGCGAGCACCCACCAGCCCTCATGTGCAGGGCTGGAGGGCCCAGGGTGCTCCCGACCCCCTGCACACACCGTCTCTAGCAGGCTCCTGCTGGAGGCGGATCCTTACTGAGGTCCGGGCTGCAGAGTGTGCAGCCTGGGGTAGGATCCTGGCCCCTCTGGTGTGACACACCTTTTAGGTGGGTCTCTGTGGTTAGCAGTCACACCCAAAGCACCCTGACCCCTGCGTCAGTAGTGGGGGGGGGGGGACCGATGTCGATGTTGAGGAGTTAGGCCCCTCCCAGGTACCAGTGCAGAGCCTGGACACAGGCATCTTCTGGTTGCTGGTTTAGGACTTGCGAAGGTGGGGGCCACGATTCAGAGACTAGGCCCTGGGGGCCCTTGCGGTTCTGCGCTGATGAGCATTTTCTTTTGGCATCCCGTTTCTGGAAGCTTGGATGCATGCATCCCGCCACGTGTGTCCCTGGGTGAATGGTCAGAACAGGCCTCCGGCAGGTGGGAGGTAGTGTCACAGCCCAGCTGCTCCCTGGTGGGCCTTTTGCACGCTGCTGACGGGCTGTGACAGCCACCAAGGTCACTCCATGCAGAGACTCTGTGCCCTGTGTGCTCACTGGGGTTTGTTGGGAAGAGCCTGTGAGCGTTCTCACTGACAGTTCCCTGGTTCTTGAAGGTCTGTGAGCCAAGGAGACGCGGACGACAGGGACAAGAACGACGACAGTGAGGGCAGTGAGGAGGGTGAGCCCCCTTGCCCTGTGATCCCTGTGGACCCAGACGCCTGCATCCTCCCCGATGCCACACTGTGTGCTTTCACTGTGCTCGATGACATGCTTGTCACCCTGGCGCAGGGTCCTGCCCAGTGGAAGGTACAGCTGTTCGGGTGTCCCTGTCCAGGGGAGGACGCCAGACCCCCAGGCCAGATCGGCGAGGTGGAGTTGTCCACCTGCAGCCCTCTGGCTGGGAGCCTTGGGGAGCCCGCAGCCCCCCACCTCCTCCCAGTGCTGTGCTACGCGTCACCACCAGGCTGCCGCGGGCCGCACGGCCGGACACCGGGCTCTGGGGGCTTCACGCTGGAACGGGCTCTCTTTGGGCTGCTCTTTGGAGTTGATGCCTCCCTCCTGGAATCACCTGCGATCCTCTGTGGTCTGCCTGATGGCCAGCTCTGCTGTGTGGTCTTGAAGACTCTGGTCACCTCCAGGTTGGCCCCTGGTGACCCGAAGTCCCTTGTCAAGATCCTCCATCACCTGGAGGAACCCGTTGTTTTCATCGGAGCCTTGAGGACGGAGTCACTGGCCGAGGACATGGAGGACACACACCCTGACTGCCTAGTGGCGCTTGGTCACCGCGGCCGGGTGCTGGCCGTCAAGGCCAGCTGGGATGAGGCCGGGGACCTGGCACCAGAGCTGCGGGAGTACCGGCTCCCAGGGCCTGTGCTGTGTGCGGCTTGCGGCAGAGGCGGCCGTGTGTACCACAGCACCCCCTCGGGCCTCTGTGTCGTGGACCTGGCTTGGGGAGGTGCCCCCCAGGACTCCGTGCAGCCCGACGGGGGCCCGGGGAGCCTGCCCTCGCTGCTGTGTCCAGCCGGCTTAGGCGTGTGCGCCGTCGTCACGCTCTCGGTGTTGTCCGAGGCGCCTGAAGGTACGAGCAGCTGCTTAAACCTGGAAAACCAAAGCCTGCCGTGGTGGGGGTGGAATTTTCCATGTGGCTGTCCTCTCCACTGCCACCCGGCCCGTTCTCCCATCTCAGTCCCTTAGAACCTTTCATAAACCTGACAGGCAGGGGTTTCCCCGCCTGGGGTAGCCTGGGGGTCGACGCTTGTTTTCCTTCGGGTCACGGGGTGCCTGATCATGTGTGGCCTGTGTGGGCAGCGGCGGCCGCTGGCCGCTCTCCCTGAGAGGGGTCTGCACCTGCGTGACCCAGGGCGGGAGCATCTCCCTGTGACAGGCCTCATGTGGTACGTGGTCCAGGGAGAGGTACACGGTGTGTTTTGAAGGCGGGAAGATGCCTACCCCACTTCCCGGGTGGCCTGCTGACGAGCCCGTTCTGCCCCGGCGCGGGCATCGCCCCGGAGCTCTGGCTCTGTTTTCCCCAGATGGAGTGCGGAGGGTTTCTGCCGTGTTCACCCAGCACTGTGGTTAGCAAAGCGGGCCCCCCAGCCCCAGCACACACTCTCGTTAAGAGGGCCCATGAGGCCTGCACACACGGTACTCCTCCGCGGCTGCACCGCAGGGAAAGAGCGCCGTGTGGACGGCAGCGCCCGGCAGCGGCTCGGCCTGTGCGTGCTCCGGGCCTCGCGTTCTGCCTGCGGCCCTGGGCCTGGGGGACTAGCAGACAGTCACGGGAGGTGGAGCCTGTCTCCTGGAGGCTCCCCCGGAGCCCAGGGACGGGGTAGGGCAGGGAACATGCTAGAGAGGTAGCAGGCTTCTGGGAAGGCCCCGGTGAGTGCAGAGCGAGAACGCGGGGCTTGCGCGGCACCCTTCCGTCTGGAGGCAGCTCTGCCCCGGAGGGCCCGGCGAGGGTGGAGCTGCGCCTGGTTGACTCGGCGGTCCACACGCCATGTGCATAAGGTGGATGTGGGCAGCACCTCTGCCCGCCCCCCGCGGCCCACGTCCAGGGCTCTTCCGTCATCCTGTGTCTCTTCGGGGCCGTCGCCAGGACCTTCTCTCTCACCCGGGTCCAGCTTCTGACCGCATTTGTCCGGTGCCTCCAGCAGCCTGCCCCTCCTCGCCTGTTGACCAGGCCCCATGGGTGTCCATCCTCAGGTGGCACCAGGCTCCTGGCCCTGTCTGCCCGGGGCCGCCTGATGACCTGCAGCCTGGACCTGAGCTCTGAGGCGTCCTGCCCCACCCGAGTGACAGTGGCAAATACTGGCCAGAAAATTAAGGAGTTACTCTCTGGAATTGGTACCGTCTCTGAGAGGTGAGTGGCTGGGCTGCCTGGCTCGGGCGGAGGCCAGTGCTGTGTCTTCGAGGCGTTGGTATCCTTGGGGGGACGACGTCCTGGGTGGCGGTGTTGGTCCAGGCCAGGCCGGTTACTTTGCCTATGGCCCCAGTGAGAGCCCCAGACGCTGCGTTGAGTGGGCACCTCAGAAGATGGAAGGGACGTCCCCCATGTCCCGGGCCCTGCGCGCACCTCTTCCCTGCCAGCAGGGAGACTGTCCATGCCCACTCAGCTCCCCAGGGCACCCTTCTCCTCGGAGGTCTCTGCCCCCCGTCTCCACAAAGGTCCCAGCAGCTTCTTCCTCTGACCCATTCCGAGAGGAAGTGGGCGCCCCTCAGCCCTTGCCTGCCTTTCTGTGTGGTCCTGGGTGACGGTCTGTAGGCTCCGGGTCCCTCTTGTTTAAGGCCATTTCCGTAGTGCCTGCTGCCCCCTGGGCTGTCCCAGTGCTGCTGTCACGGTCCCAGCTCAAGACGCGGCCTGGGACGCGGCAGGGAGGCCAGCCCTGCCGTGGCACCGCCTGGCCCGTGTGGCCTGACGAGGTTGGCCGTGGCCGTGAGCCTGGTGGACTAGGCCAGGCCGGCCGAGTGGGGGTGTCACCAGCTGCACCTCTGTCCCCTGGGGCCCTGCTGCCTGAGAGGAGGGCTTTGGGCAGACAGCTGCGGGCACCTTCAAAAGGGCCCCGCAAGGGCGCGACCAGAGAGCTGCTTCCTGAGGCAGGGGCTTCTCCTCACTTGGCGTACGTCCCGGAGCAAGGTTCTGGTCTCTTCCAAGCCTGGGAGGAGGGGCCACGCTTCTGTGCCCATCCCTGAGGCGCTGTGTTCGTCCTTTCCAGAGTGTCTTCCCTGAAGAAGGCAGTTGACCAGCGCAACAAGGCCCTCGTGTGCCTCAATGAGGCCATGAACGTGAGCTGCGTGCTGCTGGCGAGCCGGGAGGGCCCCAGGCCCATCTCGTGCACCACCACCACTGCCTGGAGCCGCGTGCAGCTGCGGGACGTGCTGATGGCCACCTGCCGGGTGCAGAATGGCAGTGGCTTCAGTCTGGGGCAGGGTTGGACTTGGTGCGTGCAGGTGCTCACCAGCCCCCGAGCCTCAGACCCGGACCCGGCTGGCTCGGCCACCACCTACACCATCCCTGTGGATCAGCTGGGCCCCGGTGACCAGCGGGAAGTGACGCTGCCCCTGGGTCCCAGTGACGACGGCACGCTGGACCTGCCTGTGACGGTGGTCTGTGCGCTGCACTACAGCCTCAGGGAGGTCGTGGGCGGAGCCCTCGCCCCCACGGACTTGTCTGAGGACGCCTCGTTGGACGGGTGCCCGCCCGACATGCTGCCCGAGCAGGAGGGCATCTGCCTGCCCCTGAGCGAGCACACGGTGGACATGCTGCAGTGCCTGCGCTTCCCTGGCCTGGCCACGCCCCCCACACAGGCGCCCAGCCTGCTTGGCCCCGCTGGCGACCCCGTGGACACCTTCCTGGGAACTCGCCTGGGGCCGCGCGGCGAGCCGGCAGGACCCACCTCACTGCGGGCCAAGTTCCTGCCCCCGTCGGTGGCCACCATCAAGGTGTCGGCAGCGCTTCTGAGGGCCGCCCTGGGGGACGGTCAGCCAGGTTGGTGTTGCTCGTGGCCTGGCTCCGGCCTCTGGGCGCGGGGCTCCTCCCTCTCCCGGGACGCGCGCCAGCTCCCTGCGGTGCCTCTCTCCACCAGGCGTGTCCCTGGGCTGTGCTGCCCTGCAGTGGCTGCTTGCAGAGAACAGCGCCCTGGATGTCGTGAGGGCCCGACTTCTGTCCTTCGTCCAGGGGGTGGCCCCTGATGGCACCGACCTCCACCTTGTCATCCGAGAGGCAAGCCAGGGGTCAGCTCTCCGGGGAAGTAGTGTTGATGGCGGTAGTTTCAGCGCGGAGTCCGCGGGCCCGCAGCACCTCCAGGCCGCTTGCGAGATGTCAGGGTCTTGGCCCCATGCCTTCCAGAGGTTTCTGACATGCACCACCTGACACGCACTTGTGCTGGAACAGCCTTCGCAGGCCCGTGGCAGTGTGGCCCTCGCGTTTCCGGCCACGTGGGCGCTGGCCTGCACACTGCTGGAATTCACGGCCAGGTGCCCAGCATGTTTGGCAATAGCTTGTACCCCAGGAGTGGCACCCACTGACCCGAGTCCCTGAACCCCTAATCCCCCGCCCTACGGGGCCGCAGAGAGGCTGGAACGATGAGTGCTCTTCTATCCGCACCCGCTCGCACACACCTGCCCTTCCGAGGTGCTCCTGGCGGGAGGCTTGGGGTCACGTCCAGCAGACTCTTAAAACCCAGGGTTGGAGGCTCACAGAGTGGCCCAGGTTGTCAGGACACCTGTCCCCAAGGTGGCGGGCCGCCCACTGCACAGCCTTTCAGACCAGCACGCCTGGGTTGAGGCCTCCCTGGGCCGGTTCTGGGCCCTGAGGGCGGCTCCCCAGGTGGCAGAAGGGCCGGGCACGCAGCCCAGTGAGCACCCTTAGCCCCAGCACGTCCCCCAGGCTGCAGCGGGAACAGCTGCCAAGGGCAGTGGCTCTGCCCCCCGGGCGTTGGGGCCTGGGTGGGGGGCGAGCCTGCACGTCCTGGCTCTTGGCCCGCCTGTGCCAGGGTTTCATCCTGGGCTCAGTGTGCCTAGAGCTTCCTGGGGGGCACCTGGCTGCCTTTGGGCACCCAGTCCGCTCCCAGTTTCCCATCTGAAACCCTGGCCCCGCCTGCTGTGGGACGCGGGCTGTCCTTGGCGGAGTGGGGACAGAGCCGCTGCCCTGCAGGCTCCAAGGGAGCGGGAGGCTTGCTAGACGGCCCTTCCCTACAAGCTGCGGCTGCCCTGGTCCGGGGCGGCCCGACGGCTCTCAGGCACAAGTTGGCAGGTGGGGAGACCCAGGCCCGGGATCCCTTCTGCACCTCGTTCTGCCCCGGGGTGCAGGGGGCCGCCCAGACGAGGGGGTAGAGGCCCCTCTCGGGAGCTGCTCTCGGGGCGGGGCAGAGCTGTGCGCGGGCAGCGAGGCTCCTCCTGTGTTGCAGGTAACGGTGACGCACCTGAGCGCAGCAGGGCCCCTGCAGGCCGTGGAGATCCAAGTGGAGAGCCCCTCCCTGGCCACCCTGTGCCAGGCGCACCATGCTGTCGTCGGACGTCTGCAGGTGTGTGGCCCGCCCAGGGAGCGGGACTGTGGCGGACCGCGGCTGCCTGCGTGGGGTTGCGGGACGATCCTCCCTCTGCTTGCGCGCGCGTGTCGTACAGGGGGGCTGCGGGGCAGGTAGGGCAGCTTCGCTGATGACCCTTCGGTAACACCGCCGTCCCGTGTGCCGGCGGCCCTCCAGTGCCCGTGAACCCGGTGGGCGCTGCGTCAAAGGAAGATGGTCCGTGTGCTGCCCGTCGTGCTCACGTGCGGGCCCCTGCACTTGCCTGGCTGTGCCGAGCGGCCGTGCCCTGGGGCGAGATGCCCCAGCCGTGCGGCCCGGGACAAGGCGTCCGCACTCTGAGCCTCCACGTCTCTGCCAAGAAACCAGGAGTAGAGGCCAACCTGTCACGTGCCTCTGGGGCCCGTCTCACCGCCGGCATGCGGGGAAGCCATCAGCTGTCCTTGGGTTCCAAGTGGCATCTGTCATCTGGTGCCCTCGGCGGGACAGAGCCCTGGCTCCGAGGTTGGCTGGCCCATCTCCTCCCACCTGTCTGAACAGGGCCCTGGCGCTCCCAGCGGCTGCTGGGACAGCTCTTCAGGGCGGCCCTGGCGACGGCCCCACCTGGGAGTGTACAGTGCACATTCCAGGCCCCACCCCAGCCCTGGGAATCGGAGAATCCGAGGTCTCGGCGGGTGGGCTTTGACCAGGCCCTGAGTGGTGCACCCTGGGCAGCCAGGAGCCTGTGACGCCAGCGCACCCCCCACGCAGCACTGCTGGGCCCACCGTGGCACAGGCGGCTCAGGGATCTAGTCCTGAGGGCTTCGAGCTGTCCGAGGGGTCTCTGCCCGCCGGGGACACCAGCCCCGAGCTCGGCTCTCGCTCTCTCTGCCCAGAGAGGAGCCTCATCGACTGTCCTGGAGGCGGATGCTTAACGTGGCGCTAGGGAAGGAGCATGCTGACCCGGCCACTGGCTGGAGGGGACACTCGGGTCCCGGTGCTGTTGTGACAACCACATCCTGGGCCCGGACAGCAGGAATTGAGTGCTGGGAGCTGAGGCCCCTCCCTGGCGCACAGACAGCCGTGTTCTCTCGTCTTTCCGCCGTGGTCTTCTGTGCACATCTGCATGCTTCTCACACGGATGCCACTCGCTGTGGTTTAGGGCCCACGTACATGACCTCCTCTTACCTTGTTCATTCACGAAGACGCAGCTCCGAGTACAGTCATGTACTCTGCTGAGCTGCGCGGGGCGGGACTTCCACGTATGAATTGGGGGGCAGGGTGAGGCTCCTAACGGGGAGCTGCAGACGCCCCCTTGACAGGAAGCTTCAGGCAGACTGCAGACCACAGTCCGTCCCGTCAGCCGACACTGGTCCCCATGATGGGTGCTCGCGGGTGAGAACCCGCATGTGACCTGCTGTGCGGCAGGGCCTCGCCGCCCCCGCAGCCTGTCCCGGGGGTTTGGATCTGAGCTCCCAGGAGCTGCCTGGGTTTCCCCAGAAAGCAGGACAAGAAACGGCCCCAGCGTGAGCAATTCCAGGTGGACGTGCGGGCGGGCAGGTTGGGTGGCCCCCGTGAGAGCAGCGGGCGCCACGCCTGACGCTGGGGACGAGAGACGAGCGGGCAGGAGGCGGCCCCGAGGACAAGGGAGGTGGGCAGCAGGGGGCAGGAAGCGAGGAGAACGTTCCAAGTAGAGTTGGGGCCGGAGTGGAAGGTGCAGAGGGGCCCTCGGAGGGGACGAGGCAGGAGGTGGAGGACGGGAGCCCCGGGCACCCCTGCAGGCGGGGGGCGGGAAGGGTCCTCTCCAGCCGCCTGCCCGTGTCCCCCCCCAGAGGATGGTTGTGAAGCACGCCGCCCAGAGCTCCAGGCCACCCGACCTCCGTGTCCAGTGTCTCCACCAGATCCAGCTCAACCACGAGGTGAGGCCCCCCAGCCTGGCCAGCGAGGGCAGGGGACCCCCACAGGCCTCAGGTGTCCCCAGCACGCGGGCCTGCCCAGAGCTCACAGCGGAGGCTCGGGACGGGGGCAGAGCCGGTGTCGTTACATCTGTCTCCCTCCCTGAGTCCAGCCAGCCCCTCCTGCCACCTGGGGAGTGGGGATGGCTCCTCCCAAGAAGGATTTGTGCGTGACGGCTTCCTGCAGAGGGGCCCAGGCCGCGCCCAGCAGGGAGGTGGGGGTCTGAGTGCCGCCCGCCCCTGCAGATGCTGCTGCGGGAGGTGCAGACCCTGCGGGACCGGCTGAGCACAGACGACGAGGCCAGCTCGCGCGCCACCGGGGAGCGGCTCCTGCAGGTGTACCGGCAGCTGCGCAGCCCCAGCCTCCTCCTGGTGTGACGCCCCTCCAGGTGGGCCCGCCCCTCCCACAATGGGTGCCTCCCGTCCTTGGTGGAGAAAGGGCCCCTTCCGGCCCCTGACCCCGGCTGTAGATACAGTGGGGGGGGGGGGGCGGGGGGTTGCAGACGGGTTTGGCTGCTGTACGGAACGCAGGGCACCCAGCTGCTGGGCGGGGGTGTGCTTGGAGGAGGTGGGGTGCGAAGTGCATCGTTTCCGGGCACCCAGATGGTGTCCGCCCGCCAGGCCCTGGGCCCTGCTCTTGCTCCCCGCCCGAGACGCTGCACGTGGCTCCTCTCCCTCCAGCAGCTGCCCGACGGCCCCACCGCACCTGGTGGTGCTGGGGGTCTCTGCCCTGGAGCGCTGGAGCTCGATCGGCAACGTCCCCTGCACCCGGAAACAGGCTCTAGACCCCAGAACAGCAGCATCGGCACGTGGCCCGCTTGGGCCCCGGAGAAAGTTCCTGGGGGTGTGCCGCCGGCTCACCCACGCGGACGCTTTCCTCCCTCTGTGGGCCCCTCCGCCCTGCTGCTTCCCGGCTGCCGGCTCGGCTGGGGCTGGGGCACCCCCACCCCCCGCAGCTGCTCCCAGCTGAGGCCACACTCAGCCCGAGCACTGTGCATTGTTCCCAGGGTCCGTCGGGGTGGGCTGCGGCCCCCCAGCTGCCTCCCTCGGCCTGGGCAGTGGCCCGGCTTGACTCCCCTTCTGGTGCTGACACGTGTGGCAGCTGGGGAGGGCGACTTTCCCTCCGACTGTGACATGGTGCTCTTCTGTGCGTCTGGGGTCTGCGAGGCACCCCTCCCGCAAGACCAGTGCACTCTGTCTCGCTGCCTCGGCTTCAGCTGTGTTTTATTTCCGCTTCCCCTCGCCCTCAGTTGGGTGGCAGCTTTGACCGGGACTTCTGGGCCTCCCCCAGGTGTGCTTGGGTGAACCCCGCGGTGGCCTCTCCGTGGTCCTAGGGTCAGTAGGGAGTCCCCAGCACTGGGGGGAAGTGCCCCCCCCTTCAGGGCACACGAGTCCCTCCCGAGGAGGACCGAGGACATCTCCGAGGGAGAGGGGCCGGCGGGTGCTCCAATCAGAGTCCAGGAGAGTGGGTGGTCGCCCACGGGCCCCACGCTGGAGGCTGCTCCAGGGTGGGAGGGAGAGCGACAGGCAGTGGCCGTGCTGTGTGGGAAGAGCGGCACTGGCCCCACTGCCCCCGCACGCGGCGTCTGCTCGGCGGCCCCTGGTCCGTAGTGTGCAGCCTGCTGCCTCTGGGCCCCTCACAAGGGTCACCCTCATGAGGCCTGAGCATGGGGCCTTCTGGGGATGGAGAAGCAGCAGTGGGGGGTGGCAGGAGGCCCCAGGTGGGGTGGGGTGGGTGCAGGGACAGGCCAACCACAGAGTCCCCAGAGAAGGAGAAAAGCTACACGCACGGCCAGCAAGTCAGGACGGGGGAGAACCGGACCGTGTGGCGCCCTCGGGGCTCAGCGGAGACACAGGCCACAGGACAGACCTCAGCCTGGCCGGATGCTTGGGGAGCCCCGGGCTTTGGGGTGCCCAGTCAGCGCCCTGCCAGGGACAGAATGCCATGCTGAGCCCAAGGTGTCCCTCAGCCTGTGGTTCTCCGTCCCCTGCACGCGGCTACAAGCCACCAGAGAACGTCTTCCACTCCACTCTGCTTCCCATACCGGGGGCACTGAGGCACGCCTATTGCGACCCCAGCTGGCCCCCCTCAGGTGACCCAGGCACCTTCCCTGCCTGCCCTCTCCCCCTTCTGCCCCGGGCTGTGTGGGCTCCATTCAGCAAGTGTCTGAGGCCAAGTGTACTACGTGGCAGAGGCCAGCAAAGGGGAGGTGGGGGACCCCAGGGGAGAATCGTTTCATGCGAGTACAGGCCTGTTGCCTTCTTGCAGGTGAGCCCCCACCCCTCCTGCCCTGGATGCCACCAGGGGGCAGCGCAGGCCATGCCTTTGTCCCCCCCCGGGCTCCCGGGTGTGGTTTCAAAGGGTTAACTGGGCCCGCCTTGGCCTGCTCGGGTCCAGCCTTCCTTGTACTCAAGGCACAGGGAGGGCAGTGAGGCCAGAAGCAGACCAGGCCACGGAGGGCCGGGCCGGGGAGGGGATTCCCTTCCTCCCCTCTGCTCCACTCTGCACCCCCTCCCCTGAGCCCCTTCCCCAAAGTGCCCCAGTCCCACCTGGCCCACACTGGCTGGACTCGCTGAGGAGATGGTGGGGCTTCAGGCCCCCAGGCAAGGGCAGGGGCTGCCCAGGGCCGGGCATCTGCCGTCCCCCCTCCCTTCAGGCTCTAGGCCACCTTGCATGTCGAGCCCCTTCCCCCACCCCCTCCCCTTTCTGTGTCTCCCCCTCAGCTCTCACCTCTGATGGCCTAGGTCACCCAGCCCATCCAAGGGGAATTGGCCTGGATGGGGGTCCTGGAGGGCCAGGGAGTGCTGGGTGCCAGCTGGTGAACCACAGACCCTGTCCTGGTATCCAGCCTGGCCATGGGAGGCCAGCCTGTGGGCGCAGAGTTTCAGGGTCTGTGTGTGGAGGTGTGCGGTGGGAATAGGGGCCCCGTAGCCCCCTTCCTGAGCCGGGTGGCAACCAGGTGGGTGCAGGAGCTGAGAGGGCCTGTCTCCCCAGGGTTAGCCACACACAGCCCTGCTTGGGAGGGATGGGGTCGCCTTTGCTTCCGGGGTTTCCTAAAACCCTGTCATGGGGAGACCAGTAAGTGCAGGCACCTCACCCCAAAGCCCCTGTAAGCTGCCATCACTTGGGGCCTCCGACCAGGCTGCCCCACCCGCACCCCGTGTCCCGCTGGGCCGAAGCGGGGGCTCCGCCCCTGGGTGTTGGGAAATAGCCGTGTGGCCAGCACAGGACAGCAGCTGAGGGGCGGGGAGCCAGGGTGGAGCCAGGGAAGTCCGGGCTGTGCCCGCCCTGGCTGGGAGGGGCGGTGGTCCGTCGGGGGACCCTCCTCCCAGCCCAGCTCCCCGACCCCGGGTTTCCCCCCAACCCTGGGCTTCCCCGGGCTGAGGGGTGGGGAGGCGGGGCGATCGCGGGGCTGGGGTGCTGACCCGCCGCGTGCGCGGAGCCCGCCAGCCGCTGCGTCAGACGCGGCTCAAGGGGGGCGGGGGCCGCGGCTCAGTACTCCCAGAGCGCGGCCCCGGTGGGGGCGTCGGCGTCGGCGCGCAGCAGCCCCGAGGCGCCGCCGCGCAGGTACTTGCCGCTCCGCGCGCGGATGGCCAGGCGGCCGCGCTCGCGAAACTCGAAGAGGAAGTCCTCGGCGCGCTCGCCGTCGCTGCGCACGCGGCCGTGGCTGCCGCTGTTCCAGAACCCGCCGCCGCGGCCTGGGGGGGGGGGGCGGGGCGCGGTCGGCGGGCGTCTGCCGCGCCCCGCGCCGCGCCCCAGCCCCGCGCCCCCCGCCCGCTCCGCACCTCGGATGTGGTAGGCGCCGTCGCTGAAGCTCAGGTGGAAGACGTCGTAGACCGAGCGGTTGGTGTCCAGCTGGTTGGAGCCACGACGGTGGCAGACAAAGCCGTCCGGGCCCCGCAGCACCAGGATGGGGCGGTTGATGAGCTTGAGAATGAACTCCTCGTCCTCACCTGGTGGGGAGTGGTGGGGGCTGAGGGGTGGCCCAGCGCCCGCCGCCCCCCCGGGCTGGGTTAGGCAGGCGGGGCGCGTAAAGGCCCCAGACTCTTGGTGCCTCTTGTGCGCCCATCTGCCATCGCCTTCCGTGACCTTGGCAAGGGGCCTGCTGCCGCTGAGCCCCAGGTCCCCCAGGTGTACAGAGGAGCTAAGGGCGCTCTGGGCTCTGACTGTCCCTGACGTCCGGAGCGGTTGTCTTGACCAGCAAGGACGGCCGTTACCAAGCACGGTGGCAGCCGTCACACAGGGAGGGGGAACGGGTTCTTAGTAGGCACGCGGCCCGGCCTCTATCCCAGGCCAGGTGAGGGGTGCTCGCTCACCCACAAAATCGCTAGTGGCCGCCAGCTGTCCGTTCTTCTTCATGCACACGTAGCGCCCATTACTAGCCTTGAGTGCCACCCGCCGGCCGCGCCACTCCGTCTCAAACATGGTGTTGGCAGCGCTGGAAGAGTCAGGGTAAGGTCCCCTCAGAGCAGCAGGGCGTTGGGAGCTCAGCCCCCAGGGGGAGACCGGCACTTGCCCGCCAACACACCCACCACCACTGAGAGCCGCCCCTCACCCCGCTGGGCATTCCCCCTGGCTGGGCTGCTACAGTGTTCCTCCTGGTGCGGACGGAGGTGACAGTGGTGGCGGTGGATCTGGAGATGGAGGTGATGTAATGGTGCTGGTGGTGGAAGTGGTGGTGACAGGGGTGGTGGCACATGTGGAGGTGGGGGTGCACTCACACTTGTGTGGCCGTGGCCTGGATGCCCCCATGGGTGACCAGGGTCCAGTAGCCCCCGGTGCTGGAATAGAAGGCGCACTTCTTTGTCTCCTGGTCAATTTGCATCAGGAAGGTCTCATGATGCTGTTCTTCATCTTGGTTGGCAGAGACGTTGACCCCTGGAGGGAGGATATGGGAAGCCCCTCACGCCTCTCCCTGGGTGGAGGGGGGGGAGCAGAGAGATGGGGAAGAGCATAGTCGGGGGGGACCCTGGAGGGGCTCTCACCCAGAACCCTTTGGAGTTAAGGTTTGGAAGGCACTTCTGGAGGGCGGGGGCCCACGGCCATGTGGGCTCACTGCAGGTCGCCTCCGTCCTGTTCCCTGAAGGTCCTTGGCCTGGCTCCTGCCACAGCCCCGGGAGCCGGAGCCTTCCGTGGCCGCAAATCTCCTGCCTCTGCTAATCGCCGGGTAATCTGCTTGCCGCTGCCCTCCCGACCCGAGGCTTACACCAGCCTCTATTTATAACTCCTTCCTAAGCCACTGGCTGGGCACGGTGGGGTCCCTCTGTTCCCCAAGCCATTGTCCAGGACACAGCTGGGGCCTGGGGTCCACTCCTGGGCACCGAGCAGAGGCGGGACCGCCGTCACCTCCCCAGCCCTGCTCGCGTGTGTGTTCTCCCAGGAGCCTTGAGGGAGGGCAAGGCTATCTGGAGCTCTGCCTGGGTTTCTGGAAGGGGGCACAGGGGACATTCATGCCGGGGTGGGGGGCAGGGGCAGGCGCCAGGGCCTCCCTAGCACCTTCCCATGAACCACGCCCCTGTTCCCAGGGGTGTGACACATCCCAGAGCTGCCCGGCAAGGCTGGCCTCCAGCATGTCCAGCTGGTGGAGCCAGAGGAAACGGGGGCCTGAGGGTCGGGGCCAGATCCCGTCCAAGCCTGTCCCCAGGAAGGTGGGGCGGGGACCATGCAGGGCCTGTGCCAGAGAGGGTGAGACCTGGGGCCCTTCGCCAGCTCCCAAGGCTGTTCCTCCAAAGCCTCCCAGATCGGGGTCTGTCCCCCGACGCGGATCAGCACCGTCCCCACCGTCCCACCAGCAGCGGTGAACTAAGTGACTGCTGCCGTCCCACCATCAGCACTAACATAACCGACAAAGTGTCCAGGGCCCGTGGGTGCCGTGGGCCTTGACCAGGGACGGCTCCTGGAGGAGGTGACACTGAAACAGACCAAGGAGACGAGAGAGGTGCCGAGGGGGAAGGCGGCCGCCGCCACCTCTGAGGCCGCCCCCGTGGCATCCGCACGAGGGCCCCAGCCCGAGGGCAGCGCTGTCCCCGGGGAGCGGCCGCACGAGAGCGAAGGGCTTTGAGGACACCACCGAGCTGGCACGGGTGTCCTGCCTGGGCCCCCACGGCCCCGGAGCCTCCAGACTTTGGCTCGTACGAGGTTCTCTACGTCCTTGAGCATTTGGGACTGTTCCATCAGCCACACCGTGTCCCTGAGGCCGGCAGTGGCTGCAGTAGAAACAAGCAGACTCTGGCTGATTGGGGGCAAAAGACGATAGTGGGTGGAGGAAGCAGGCCGGCGGGGTGCTCCCAGACACCCCAAGAAGACGGGTTTGGGGCTGCCCGGTCAGCAACGTCGCTGGGATACAAGCACCAGCTCCAGTTGCCACGGAGCCCCGGGGACCACCGGCGCCCCCCCAGGACTGACGGGCCACATGGGGGGGGGCGGGTCATATGCCCTCAGGCTTTTTGCGAAGGAAGCGAGCAGGCGAATGTGGGTGCCTGGCTTCTACAATGGAAGGCAGACCTCGCCCTCAGTAGGGGGCTCCCCTGCGAAAGGGCCAGGCAGGTGCAGGGGAGTCCAGAGATGGGAGGAGAGTCCAGACGGCACCACCCTCACCGCCACCGCCGGCACTGTCCCTGTCACCACCTCCGGCGCCACCACGGCCCTGCTCGCCAGCGGAGCACAGCTGGGTGCTGTGTCCACGTGGCTTCTGACCCTCACAGAGGAGGCCCTGCACACCGTCGCCTGCATTTTACTGACACTTCAACCACAGGGGCCTTACCACAGCCCAGAGAGCCGTGCGGCTGGACCGTGGGGCCTGTGCGGGGAAGGACGAGGGCTGACTGTCCTCCGTGTGCCCCAGGACCTGGCCACGGTCCAGACAGGCGCGCAGGAGGCCTTAGCTGGAAGCCCGTCCCCACGCAGGACTGGCCTTGGGAATCTTGACTACAGGCAGGGCCCCCACAGCGATAGCATGGCTGTCCCTCCCACGGGGGGCTCGTGGCGGGGCCCCTGCCGGCGGGACCAGGGGCCAGGTCAGGGTCCACACACCCAGGGACCCAGGTAGAGACAGCCATGACTGCTGACCCAGGCCCAGCTAGGGGCCATTCCGGAAGTTCAGTTTCTTCTCAAGGAAGTGGGAATTGCCCGTGTTCACCTCGTAGGTATGTGGTCACGCGTGGAAAGGTCACACAAGCAGGTGACCAAGATCCAGGATTCACAGAGAGCCAGGCTGCACCCACTGACCAGAGACCGTGTCTTCCAGCAAGAAGTGAAGGCCACCGGACTGGAGGGACCCCAAGGTCCCTCACCCCTCTCCTGGGTTGAAGGAGGGTCCCCGCTGGTCAGGCACGGGAGGTGTGGGCACCGCAGCCCCGCCAACTGCCCTCCTGCTGGCTCCTGGCCGTGTCCCCAGCCCCCTCCCCAGTCTCCTGTGAAGTTTAGAAAATGGAGCAGACGAGAAGGGGAGTGTGGGGCCAGCCCCCTGGCCCTCGCAGCCGCCGGCCTGGGCCTCGCCCACTTCCTGCGGGGCACTGCCTGTCCCCCGCCCAGCTGCTGCCCAGCATGCCCAGGGCGCAGTGGTCCCGAAAGGGATGCCCTCCCTCCGGCTCTGAAGCCAGCAGCCCCAGCCAGGACCCCCACACGTGGCCCAAGGCACACACCCTATCCTGTGCACCGCCACCCATATGGACACGGTGCCACCGCCCCGCGTGAGCCCCCACGTTACCTTGCCGCACGGACACGTAGCGGTGGTTGGCGGCCACCAGCACCACCTGCGGGTGACTCTCCTCCAGGTCGAAGAGCTCGTCCTTGCTGGGCCGCGCGTTGCGACCTGCCCTCAGCGTGGCCGTGGGGCCCACGGGCGCCAGGTAGCGGCCGTCGCAGTCCTTGAAGGCCAGCTTGCCCGCCTTGAACTCCAGCGTGTAGCGGGCTCGGGCCTCGGGCTCCCAGACGAGGCGGCCGTCGCTGCGCAGGTAGCGGCTGTCACAGGACCGGAGGCAGTACTGCCGGTTCTCGAAGCTGAGGGTGAGGAGCGCGTCCACCCCCCACGGCGTGTTGCTGTCTGCCGCCAGCTCGTCTTCCTGCGGACACAGGTGCACATAGCGCCTCCGGCTCACGCTCAGCAGGTGAGCCTGCGGGTGGATGGCCAGGTGCACGGTCCACAGCTCGGCCGGGGAGATGGCCGTGGCGAAGCAGGACAGCCGATCCTCGGTGCCGCCGAAGAAGCGGCCGTGTGGCTCTGAGCGCAGCACCCAGCGCCCGTCGGGCTGCGGCAGGACCAGGAAGCGGCAGTCGCGACCCGGCCGCTCGGCCTCGCAGGCCACGCGCCCATCCTCCTCGGCTGACAGGTAGCGGCCCAGGTGGCTACTACGGAACAGCACGGCGGTGCCCTGCCCCGGGTCAGGCTCCAGCACCCACATCTGCTTCCGCTTGAGGCTGGAGGCCGAGGCATTGACCTTGAAGCCGAAGCTCTCAGCTGTCAGGTATCGGTCAGTGTCGTTGACAAGGCCAAACTGGATCTTCAGCACCTGGTGCAGGCCGTTGGTGGGCATCTTCGGGGCAGACCCACAGCCCCGCGAGGGGCCTGGAAGCTCTCTCTGCGTGCTCTCGGCCCCCGAGTTCCCCCAGAGGCCTGGCCGGCGTCATGGACCCGCTGCCCTCTGACCAGCAGCTGCGGGGCCCCGGGTGGTTCTTACATGGCCCGCGGGCAGCGGAGGGCGGGTGGGAGGGCGGATCAGAGCTGTGCCGGCTTAGGGACAGCGGCTGCCTTTTGTTACCCCAGCTTGGATTTCAGCCACTCCTGGACTCCTCGAGCGGCCGGAGCCCCGGGGCCTGCCCAGCTGGAGAGCTCCGCCCGCCGAGGGCCACCCACCTCCCCGTCACTGGCGGCCGCCCAGGCCCACAGCTCGGGCCTCTGCCCCGCCTCCTGGCCCTTGCGCCTCTTGGCCTCTCTCTCACGTGTCCCCTACCTTAGGGCCCCCAGACCCACTGCACAGACTCGCCCGCACAGCCCCACTCCTTCCCGGCGCAGAAAGAGCTGCCTGATGGAAAGTCGCTGCGAGGCCGCAACCCGATCGCAGCCCTCCACCCGCAGCAGCCGCCAGATCCGCGGCCAGATCCAGTTACCCTTCTCTGATTCCTGGTGCCAGGAGCCCGGCCCCCCGACTCGGGCAGCCTGCAGCCCTGGGCCCCATACCTCTCCCAGGGTGGCCCTGGCTGGGCGAGTGGCAGGCGGGGGCGTCAGTGCCAGCGAGCAGCCAGGTGCGCCCCGGCACCCCCATAGGGCAGGCCCAAGCCCGGGTGCGGGCCACGTGGAAAGGCCACGTGGGCGGCCCGGTGGTGCTGGGCTCAGGGCCCCGGTTTGCCAAGATGGCAGTAGTGTGATGGAAAGGGTGACGTCCGCCTCAAGGAGGGGAGGCGACATGGGAGGGTGGGCGCGGAGCAGATGGGGTCCCAGAGGCCATGAGCCATTGGACTCAGGGTGAGAGGACCAGGCCTCCAGCCACCCCCGTGCTGTAGGCACCTCTAGGAGCCCAGTCTCCCCCTTCCACGGGTGAGCAGTGGGGAGGCAGCCTCGCCGCGTGGCCCTGGGGACGCCTCAGCTGTTGTTCGTGTTCCTGTGACGACTGAGGTATTTACAGGGTCCGGTCCAGGGGGTCGTGGGGGCCAAAGCCCTCTCAGCAGCCAGATGTGGCCAGCAGGCCGGGGAGGCTGGAAGCCGCCCCCAGCACCTCCAGCCCCAGGCCCTGGGACCACCCGGCTACGTCCCCCCCCAGATCCGGGGGGCCATCTCTGGGCACCTGCGGTGGCCTGCTCAGCCACATCCTGTCTGTCTGTCTCCTGCACCTGCCTCCAGGGCTGGGAGCCAAGCAGTGGAACCAGAGCTGCCCGGCCTGGGCCTGGGCCAGCCTTGGGGTCCTCTTCCTCATCGCAGTGTGTGGCCCTCAGGCCTCCCTGGGGAGGGGCCCGGGCCACGGCACTTCCAGCCTCAGCCTCGTGGGCCCTGGGTGCCCGAGGCAACAGCCTCTCGACCCCCTGGAGGCCACGACGGCCCCCTGCCGCGGGAGAGGGCCTGGCGCCGGGCCTGCGTGGGCCCCAGGGGGCAGGCAGGGCAGGCAAGATCACGAGTCCCTCCGTTCCGCAGGCCCCGAGCACGTACAGACACTGGGGCACAAGGTCATGCGTCCCTCCACCGGGGCCGGAGTGGGATTCCGGGAGGCAGACCTGGGCACAAGACCCCGCGACAGCTCGGTGCACGCCGAGGGTTGCTCGAGTGAGGCTGGTCGTGGCCCTCTCAGGGGGCATCATCCATCTCTGCGGCCCACGTGCATCGATGGGGCACCAACCGTGTGCCTGGCTCGGCTGCGTGCCAGGCACCCACTGGCAGGGGATGTACTCCCTCCAGAGATAGTGCCCGCACAAAACCCTCCCACGCCCCAGGGGCCCAGGCCTAGCCCCGATGCCAAGGAAACATCCATGGGGGGGCGGGAGCCATGGGCTGTCCACGCCCATTCCTTGCTGGACCTCACTTTGCCCCACCCCCAGGGCTTCGGGAACACCGTGGGACGCGTGCCCAGCAGCACGGCTCAGTTCACCCTTGCGGGGGGGCAGCTGTGCCCAGGGTCCCCCCAACTTCCAGCTCTGAAGAGCCCGGGATGCCCGCCTAGCATCACGGCCTCATTAGTGCTGGCAGGTGCTGGCAGGGTGCTCACGGGCGTCGTGTGCCCAGTGGGAGGCAGGCCAGCCGCCAGGTGCTAAGTGGCCCTGGCTCCGGGAGTCCTCTTCGTGGTGGAGCCAGAAGTGGCTGTGGCCTGTCAGTTCTGGGGCCGGGCAGCCCGAGGCGGGCATGAGTTGGGGTGCCCGGCACTGACCCAGGGTTTGAGCCCAGGGGTGACCTTTCAGGCCCCAAGGGGGACTCTGAGAGGTGGGCCTCACAGCCCAGGCCTCCTTGGAGGGAGGTGGTTTGCATAGATCTACCCGCTACCCCTGCCTGAGGCCCCAAGGCCGGAGCCCAGATGCCTGCCGGGGTCATGGCTCCCTTCTGGATTCCCCGTGAGGCTCTGGCACACAGCAGGGACTGGGAAGGTTTGGGAAGGTCTGGAGCTTATGTGATGCGCTGAGACCCACAGGGGGGATGAGGCAGTGTGCGTGCCGTGTGTGTGTGTGTGTGTGTGTGTGTGTGTGTGTGAAGGTGCATCGGATGGACGGGCGGGGCAGAGTGAGCCGGGCCCTGACCCCAGAGATGCTTCCCTGGACCCCAGCCTCAGGGCCCACTCATGGCTGCCCGGGACGGTGATGAGGCCAAGTGCGGCACGTGGGAGTCGGCGTGAGATTCCCTGAGTCTGTGCTGGGCGGGAGCCCCCAGCCATGCCCCAGGGAGCACTCCTCAGGGGAGCACAGGCGGTCCTGTGGCCACAGCCCCTGCCAGGGTGTCCACACAGCCACCGCCTGTCCAGGATGCCTTTGGGGGCCTCCAAAGCCACCTGACCCCACTTATCTCTGAACCTGCCCTCAGGGGGGCTGGGGAGTGCCCCCTGTGTGTGTCCATTGCCCTGGGCTGTCGTCTGCAACCGCTGGACGGATGTCAGCCTGACTGATGCACCAACTGAAAACATGTTTCACTCGAGGAGGTGCCTTTCCCTCATGGGTACGGAGGGGCTGTTTGTGTGAGCAGCACCCTGGGACCCCACTGCAGGGAGTGGCCAGCTGCAGATGGACACAGCTGGGTGGACCCTGCTTCAGAAGCTGGGCCTACAAGGCAGGGGTGGCCTCAGCTCTGAGCTCCCAGCAGACAAGCTTGGCGCAGATCCTCCTCGGCCACTGGCCCCTCTTAGTGAGGTTTGGCTGGGGCCAGGGACAGAGAAGGCCTTGAACCCCCCGGCCCCTGGCACGGAGCTCTCAGGAAGCTGTCCCTTCCCTGGGATGCTGGGGGATGGGGTGGAGGGCCTCCATCCCCAACCCCAGTCGGGCCCCTCTGGGGCGGCCAGGGAAAGGACTCTGGGTCCTACATATCTCGACCACTGGCCTTGGATGTGAGAGGCCAGCCTGGGCTCCTGCCAGCTCATTGTTTGCTGCCATGGCGACCGGCGCGTGTACCAGGCCGGGTGCCCAGGCAATGCCGATGCCGGTGGCATGAGCTGGCACAGGCCCCATGTGTGTGCAGGCTCGGGGAGGGGATGGATCCCCACTTTGGCTGACCCGGAGCCCTGGAAACCAGGAGATGGCCCGGGGCAGCACTACCTACCGAGGGACCTTCCCAGGCCACACCTGTCCCCTGTCCCAGACCCGGGTCTTGGCCCCTTGCTCGAGCCAGGCCACCTGTGTGCTCCCCGCAGGGCGGTGAGTCTCTGGGAATGCCTTCCAGGAACCCCCCGGGGCCCCACCCAGCTCCCTGGTGCCCCGGCCTCACCCCTGGGCCAGCTGCCGCTGTTGTCAGACTTCCTGTCCCGCTCTGCCCCGGGCACTGTGCCTTCTGGGCCAGGCCACTGCGGCCAGCCCCCCAGGCGAGGACTATCCTGCTGGCCTCCAGGCTCCTAGGCCCTGCCCAAGGCCCTGATTCTCATGCTCCCGGCCCAGCGTCTGTTCTGGGGAGTCCAGCTTGGCGGGGGTCCAGGGCCCAGCCTCCTGCGTGGTTCCTGAAAGCGGGCCCGAGGCTTGGCCGCCTCATCATTCTTTCATGGTGGAGCTGGGCCGCTCTGCGGCTCCTTTTACACGGGCGGGGCCTGGGTTTGTTTACGGGAGGGGGAGGCCTGCAGCCGGTTTAGGGTGACAGGCTCCCTTCTGTCGGCTGCGTGGGGAGGGGGCTCCCGAGTCTCACCCTGCTGGGGTGTGCCCAGCCCCTGTGCGGCCTGCTCCTCCTGAAAATCCAGCCCCCAGCCTCACCCCTCCCCCGCCACCCCCCCCACCCCGTCCCCAGCCCCATCCCATCCCCCACACCTCCTGAAGGCAGCGCAGTTCACTGCAATACTGGTTTTCAGGGGCTCCTCCCCGGTAAGGTCCCCTCCCGGCCCCCACTTGAAGTGGGGAGCTGCTGGCCGGGAGGACAGGCCCCTGGTGTGGTCTCCTGGCTCTTGGCTCTTGTAAAATCGGAAAAGTCCTGGGGAGGGTGTGGCTATTTCTGGAGGGGTGTGGGGGGAGACAGAGACCTCTGGGGACCCAGCCAGAAGTCCCAGGGCCTCCACCCGGCTGAGCGTCCCTGAGGGACCCTGAGGGCAGGACTGCGGGCATCTCGGCAAGCCCAGATGTCCTGCACCATTGCTGTCTTTGGGCCCCCGAACCCCAGGGCCTTTGCATATTTCTGGAACAAGAAGGGAGCACTCACAAGAATATCTGAGAGTAGGTCCCTGGCTGCACGGAGCTCAGAATCAGGACCAGATCAAGTGCAAGAAACGCGGCGGCTATTTACTGTCCACCTGGGCTTCCAGACACACCTGGCAGGGACGGCCAGGAGCCCGCCACTCCGAAGGTGCCCAGGGCGGCTCTGCACTTTCACACACAGCCACGCACGCACAACTCTGCCGTCTATCCGCAGAGGCTCAGCCCATACCCCGCACCCCAATAATCAGACACACAGTAAGTACCTACTGTGTGCCTGAAACCTCGTCAAAGAGCCATAAAGGGCTTCTGGGACCAAACAGAAATTTCCTCGTCCTACTGCGAGAAAAGCCACACG